CCCCCCTCCCCCTCCGACACCCAGCTCACCCCTGATACCCCGGAGGCCATCACCGACAAGATCAAGCTCTTCGGCGCGGAGAAGTACAACGAGGCGGCCATCCTCTCGTCGCTGACCACCGAGTATGGCTTTGATGCCGAGGTACCGTCTTCACGCGGCACTGCCGTGGCCGCTGCCTTCATCCTGGTTGCCATTGCCTCTTGCCCTCCTGTGACCGGGCTGCCAGCGCTAACGATGTGGCTGCTTCCCCCATCCCCTGACTCCCCGTTGAAGGTTGCCAACCACCTGCTTCGGAGCTACGGCGATCGCGCCACCCAGGTGGCGGCCCTCTGTGCTCCCACCGAGTGGACGTCTGTTGTCCTGCCGGATGGCACTCTCAGCTCCGTGCTGACCACCCGGCCGCTGGAGGAGGCCGATGCCGCTGCAGCTGGCACCACCGTCCCCCCGCGTGTCTCCGGTCCCCGTGGCTTCCGCCTTGCGCCGGACCATCCCTACCTCGATGGCGAGGTGCGCTATGCGGTTCGTCATGAGTATGCCTGCACGCTGGTTGTACGTCCCATCCCCGGCTCTTCCTCTCTTCTCGCCCCCGCCCCCCCTTCTCTCTCTCTCTCTCTCTCTCTCTCTCTCTCTGCTTCTCCCCTGGAGACCCGCCGGTCTTTGTTGTTCGTCCGGGGCTCACACGTGCCCGCCCTGCGATCTGCCGCCCTGACATCTCACCCTCTTTGCCCCTTCCCCTCTCTCCCTCCCTCCTTCCTTGTCTGCCGAACCCAGGACGTCATTGCTCGCCGCACTCGGTTGGCCTTCGTCGATGTTTATGCCGCGGCCAAGGTCATCCCCACGGTGGCGGCCATCATGCAGGCCGAGCTCGGCTGGTCGGAGGAGCGCACCAAGCGGGAGATGGCCACCGCTCGGCTCTTCCTCGACTCCTGCGGCCTGACCACCGTGACCGAGTGAACATCTCGCCATGCGTGATGCTCCCCCTCCTCCCCCTCCCTCCTTCCCCCTCTCCATCGCCACTTCCCCCTTCCACCATCCATGTCCCCTTCCTTCTTGAGTTCCCACCTTGCCGTGTGCTCCCTCCCTCCCTCCCTCCCTCCCTCCCTCCCCCCCCTGCCGTCGGATCTGCCACCGAGAGGGACACCTTGCCTTCTTGTATATCCCCCCTCCCCTCGGCCCGGCCAGGTGCCGGCGCATTGGCCCGGGACAGATCAGCCGATCACTGGTCACGCCCACACATTCCCTAATAGACACATTCCCCAATCCGAGGGGGCTCCCCCCTGGTCTTGTCTCCCGGGTCCGTGGACTGAGGATGCCCTCTTTCTCTGTCTCTCTCGCTCTCTCTCGCCCTACGGTCCATCTTCCGCTGCACGACTTCCCGCCACCACGGCCAGCCCCCAGCGGACGGATGTGCGCATGAGTTCGGGTACCCAGGTCAGGATGTCCCCTGGAGTGGGGGGCGTCCCCCCCCCCCCCCCCGGCTCCCTCCGATTCAACCGAGGGAAAAGAAGCCCCCCCCCCCTGGGGCGGGAGCGGGCGGATAGATGGCGGGGGCCTGCCTGTGGTTTCCCGGCCCAAGCCCCCCCCCACACACACACACACGCTTGTTCACTGGACCGCACCAGTGTCTGTGTATGTACAAACGCCTCTCCCCGCCTTGCAGTACGAGGGACGGTTCGCCAGCCGGGGTGGCGCGGTTTTTCACCTCTGTGCCTGTTGGCAAGGGACCCGTCCCGAAGGCGAGTGCAGGTCCCGGGGGGGG